ACCAAGAGGTTTCCCCTTAATCAATCAATTAGTCACTACCCCAAAGAGTAGAGAGGAAGATGAATAACCCAAGTTCTTCCCTGGAAGGTCCCGTGTTTAGTATATTTGAGGTCATCCACCTCAACAACCTCAGTTATTAAATAAGAAAACTGAGGCTTTAATCAAGTGGTTATGACTTGCCCAAGGTCATGTGACTGCTAAGTGCTGGATCCCTGGTCACATGCATTCCTAATAATTGCTGGTGCATGATACCTGCAATGGACGTTTTGCCCATTTAAATTGTATCAGATCATCCATAATCCTAACATAATGATTTACTATTTTAGGATACAAAAGAGAACTTAAGATATTGCTTTTGGCTGGGCACGGTGGCTCAAGCCTGTAATCCCAGCACTTTGGGAGGCTGAAGCAGGTGGATCACGAGGTCTGGAGATCGAGACCATCCTGGCTAACAAGGTGAAACCCTGTCTCCACTAAAAATACAAAAAAATTAGCCGGGTGTGGTGGCGGGCGCCTGTAGTCCCAGCTAGCCAGGAGGCTGAGGCAGGAGAATGGTGTGAACCTGGGAGGTGGAGCTTGCAGTGAGCTGAGATCACGCCACTGCACTCGAGCCTGGGTGACAGAGCGAGACTCTGCCGTCTCAAAAAAAAAAAAAAAAAAAAAGATACTGCTTTTATTTGCATTGACGTACTGTTATGCTAGTGTATTAGTCTGTTTTCATGCTGCTGACAAAGGCATACCCGAGACTGGGAAGAAAAAGAGGTTGGATTGGACTTACAGTTCCGCATGGCTGGAGAGGCCTCAGAATCATGGCGAGAGGCAAAAGGCACTTCTTACACGGCAGCAGCAAGAGAAAAAAGAGGAAATAGCAAAAGCGGAAACCCCTGATAAACCCATCAGATCTTGTGAGACTTATTCACTATTATGAGAATAGCAGGGGAAAGACCGGCCCCCATGATTCAATTACCTGCCCTTGGGCCCCTCCCACAACATGTGGGAATTCTGGGAGATTTGGGTGTGGACACAGCCAAACCATATCAGCTAGTGACTTTATCAATACAAAAAAATCGCTGAGAAGAAATTGTCTCAATTTTCTAAAATTGCAACTAGTTTTACACTCATGAGTAATCATGCTATGAAAATGTACAGGACAAAATTGTTCGTGATAGATTTAGTGTCATAGTATACGAAGTTCAAAACTGAACCGCCTAAGTATAATTGTCAGAAAAGCTGGAGTAAATCTCCTGTTGTACTCTATGTAATTCCACTTTAAAAATACAAATAGAGTCTCCTGATTTGTTTTGTATAATCTTTGTCACCAAAGCTCATTGACAGATTGACAATGTGTTTCATATCAACTTATTTTGTGTGTTATGCAAGTTGATAGGAATTATACATTATGCAATTTTACGGAGCAGTTTGTGGTCACCACGTGTTATTGAGAACTGCTGTGTGTACTAAAGACTTAAACTGCATCTGACGTAGATTAAAAAAGCGCTTCAGAGGGTGAGAGTGTTGCCTGAAATTAGTTTGTCTGGAAGGATAAAGAACACCTAAAACTGACTTCTTAACAGCAAGTAATAAAAGATAATAGTGATGCTTGTGTACTAGGTTAGAGACTCCCCTAAGAGAAGATACACATCTGTCCTCCTGTTCACTAACAGTCAGTGATGGAAATCAGGGAATGAGTGAGGGTGGTGGGGGAGAGAGGGACCCAGGGATGCTCCAC